CTACAACAAAACTATGAATTCTCTCGCCACAACCACCCATGTTAGGGAATTTTATTCTTAAATGTTTAGCACCAAACCTAGAACTTTACTCCGTTATCAAAGCTTTAAAGTTTTTCGGACCGAAAATGCATGCCGTTTTTATCCGCACCATTACGTAACCTTTATTCTCTACTGTGTAAGAGGTAGCGTAGATAGTAAAATCCGAACAATTTTAATGAGACAAACTAAAATTCGAACATAAACTTACATACATTTTCTTGACTCTCAAACCCCTCTATGTTCCAGCACTTCCTTTGGACTGTATACATGGATCAGTCATCTACACATTGCATCAGAAGTGAATTCGCTCTTCTCCCTGCTCGCACAAACAGTAGTCAACCGGATGGAATAGTCACCACACCACTGAAGAGTTGACCTCCAGTTCTATATTCGGGCGTAGTTGAGCAATTCTCAGAATTACGCCCTGTTATAAGCGAACAGCATTTAGCACGAACTTCGGCTAATCTATCGGATATGACTATCATATGATATGATTCATGGAATCATAATCAACGATTATTCGGTTTGGAATATTAGATCCCCACTTCTATAGCCTTTGTACTTGCGGGCATAAGCAGAGTTCAGTTAAATGAGTTCAGCGTCATTCTCGCGTCTGTACTTTTGCCTGTAAATTGAAGACCCATATTTAGGTTAATTTTGACATCAGCACAAATCTGCGGGGTCGCGCATTTTTAATCCGGTAAATCAAGTTACAAGGCGTTATAACTTAAGCCTGTCATTGCTTTGTTTACAAAACTGTGTCTGTTTACCTAAGGCAACAGAAATCTTCTGCTTTACGTGCCAAATTCAGTGTGTCGTTGAAACGAAGATGTGGTTTTGGAGCGCCCGGCAGAGCTTATTTCGTGGGCATTGAAATGACAACTTGCTAAGAAATATTTCGGACCCCCTAATTAATTTATGTAGCAAGTAATGTATCTCAGAGAAGTTGTGTTTTTGCGTGTTGTGAAAAAATGCTATTTTGTGCTAATTCATTTCTGCGTTGATAATTCGTAGGAAGGATTCAATAATCAGTCCTCATTCTTAAACCTGTCCTACCGAGATATCTTTTGGTTTTTGCTAGAGTATGTAATACTCTACCTTGATCAACAGCCCCACCGCTCTTTATTTATCCAAAGCAAAAGCCAAACAAACCTTGAGCTGCAGTGGCATCTGAAGACCCTGTGTTCACATGAGGTTACGTGACGCACCTCGCTAGATTAATATATCTACTGAGGAACAGCTCCAAAGCGCTCAGGGCCGATTTCTACGACGCGCGTTGAGATTACTTGGGGATTTTTTTTGGTTGGCCCCTAACCGCTGCGGTCTTTCACCGATGGTACTCATGGCAATTTTGCGCTGCTAGATATCCTAGGATCGCGCAATCGTATCGAGCAGAGCTGGCGATCATCGTGAACATCTAGCTGCACGACCAAGAAGACGCGAAATGTCGAAATATATTCCATCGTGAAGACAGCCGTCACGCGTAAATAAAAACCCAGTTATAACGTTAACAACAAGCGCGCGTGCAGTGGCCCAACGAAGTGCACCATGATTTCATGTTGCATAAACAGAAATTTCAGTTATAAAGGAACATAGTTAATAAAAACAGCGCATCAGTGATTTCTTTTTACTTATGATCGGTAATATTTAAGAAAAATGGTTTTTATATGTTTTAAGAAAATCTCAAATTCCAAACGTAAAAACAATTAGAATTTAGTAATCAAACTTTTGTATTTGGTTGCATTTTATTCAGCGGCAAAAATATTAAAAGTTAAATTCTTAAAACGACTAAATTTCTCAGATCTTTTCGCAAAATTTAATTAGTTTTTGAATTACTTAATGCACATTTACGAACCCTTAGTATGTACTGGAGGAGCGCTTCTGTAAAGAACTGACATAATACTAAATAAATAGTATTTAAAAGTTGGTTCATTAAATAAAGGAAAGAAATTTTCACCATAACATTTGGTCAGGGAACGCAATTGAACATATACAGTGCAATTAGTCAGAATTAAACTATCCTGTTTAAAGGATCGAATAGCATGCGCTTGTGTGATTTGAAATGTAACTATTCTTATAAATTAGATTAAGGTAATTGTTTTTCTATATCTATTGAAACTAACTGACTATAATAAAAATTGTATGTAGTATGGTCAGTTCCAAAAATGTCATGATATAAGATGTAATTAAGAAGAAATTAAGGAAATAATGCATATTATTTCAATTACAACAATTATTAATACATTACTATTGACAATAAGGTACAATAGTAGCAAAAATACAACAAAAATCTTTGTGAAATTTGCATATGCAACCTTCAAGGAATTGCACGTAACAGTTTCCATTAAAAAGGCAAACAAGGTAATGGTGATAATTGTCCATGCTTTTCTTCCAAAGAGAAGTAACAGGAAAACATTATTTTACAATACATAAGACTAATAATAATCACAGCACAAGGAACTTATTAATTCATTTTTTTCTCTCCTTCCTGGAGGACCTCAAGAAATTATTAAGCACCCATTTGTTGAGAAAACTAAATTATTTTCAAAGATCCTTTTATCACCAATTTTTTACGAGGAACCAATTGTCACGACGTGTCATGTAATTATGCATCATTCTCAGGGCTAATTTAAGAATTTATGGCTGCAATAAAACCTTTCTTTTTATTTGAAATATTTCCAACATTAGATCTCTTGGGCTTTATACACCTCTTGGTTAATCCTATTATTCCACTATAGCTAATTTTTATACTTATTTAGGCTAACAAAGGCTTATAGAAAATCAATATTGATTCGTTTATAACAGCTTTTGGATTAACAGATATCATGTTAATAATTACCAGCCATTTTAATTTCCGTTCACTACAAAAAACCCATTAAATCTAGTATCTAAAATTATAGTGGTACAGAAAACTAGGCAACCCTGACTGGATCACACATTGCATTGCTTAGCCCTCAATTGAGGGAACCCATTCTTTGCAATAAGCGCGGTTGGCAATAGGTTTGCAAACGGTAGGCGCTAACCGTGGCGGAAACGTATTTCTACGAAACCGCCCAACCGAAGCGGCAGCATTTCTTTTTCGGGCGCTCAGGCGGCGATGCCAGCGGCGATGAGGCGCTGCAATGGCATGTCGACGGCCACGTCGGCGGCGCGAGGCCCTCTACGTCGCGCAACGAGCCGGTCGGCCGCTCTCCAGCAGCAAGATGTCACTTCCTCGTTGGTGCCTGCGCGGCGCCGCCTCGTGTAGCGCCGTGCGGCCCTGGTTTCGTCTCGCCGTTCACCGGCACCGCGCATGCCGCAGTAGATGCGTTGCAGTGGTCGTTACCGGCGCCGGGCGCACAGGGCAAGCGCCAGTCTTTCGCGCGCCGTGCGCGCGCGCACAGTCGCAAGCCCTGCAGCAGGAGGACTTGATGCGGCTCCATGACGCCCCGTGGCGGCTGTGCAGCGCTGTCCAGCCCCGGTGTCCCGGAGGAAGATGTCGGCCACGCGGTTCAGGCAGCTCCCCAGGCAGGTCGAGTACCATGACTGCGCGCGTTAGTGCAGACGGCGTCTTTGCCGTCGGGCGCCCGCGTCGATGGCACGCGCCCATGCTTCCAACAGCTGCGTCAACGCACCTCTGGCTGTTGCTGGCGGCGGCCAGGTGCAGCGGCGTCACGCCTGCGTCGGTCACCATGGTGATGTCGCAGCCGGCCTCGAACAGCAGTGTCATCATCTCTGTCTGACCCAATTTGGCGCTGATGTGGACAGGCGTCCAGCCGTTGCTGTCCTTGGCATTTACGTCCGCTCCTGCATCTAGCAATTCCTTAGCGCTAAGTGTTTTCCACGCTTCGACCGCTCTATGCAACGGAGTCTTCCCGTCGTTTCGCCTGCAGTTTATACCGATCCCTGCAGCTATGAGAAAGCGCATGAATTCAGTCTTCGCATTGTGTGCCGCATAATGTAACGGAGATTCTCCCTTATTATCCTTTTGTGAAAGATCTACTTTTCCATCTATTAGATAATCGAAGATTTGTTTAGCATTCTGTCTAATGGAATAAAACAAAGCGTTCTGTCCTTGTACATCGGTTGCCTTTGTATCCGCGCCTAGCCGGATGAGTTCCTTAACACATTGCAAGTGATCTACTGGATCGGGATCCATATCCAAATACGGGAAGGGCAAGAGCATATCCGTGGAGGCTTGGGCGGCCATTATCAAGGGCGTCATCCGCCGCGGGTCTCTGACGTTGGGGTCCGCGCCTCGCTCGATCAGCGCTTTGACGCACGCAGCGGCGCCCTTATCCGCCGCCCAGTGGAGGGGGGTGCGTCCGAAGACGTCGCTCGCATTGATGTCTGCCCCGTTGTCTAGCAACATCTCCACACACTCGGGATAGTTGCACACTACGGCGTAATGAAGAGGAGAGAGGTCAGTCTCCACCTGTAATAAAGAACCTTTCTTAGAAAACACATAATGCAAAATAATATTTGTTCTTAGACGAATAAACTACGAACGTCGGGATGTTTTTAATTCCATTGCAATGCCAATTTTTTCCAATTGTTTGATGGCACCGTAGTTACAAGAAAAGTCGAAAACAATTACGGCAAATAAAAATTTGCTGTAATTCTTGCAACTACTCAAACAGCTGTGAAAGTGTTTTTAAAACTACTTTTCACTTGGTTCTCTTAAAATTAATAAGTTACTGTTTTGAAAGTCATCCCACTCGTTAATCGGATGTGTCTTACTACCGTCCCTCAGATACATAGTTCACACGAGGTCGTAAACCTTTTTCTCATATGAATAGGGGGTTTCATAAAAGTTTCTAAATCGAATTTCTGCAAGATAATAAATTACTCCATCATGATGGAGAATGTACAAATGAAAACCGGGAAACCTCTCTTCATTGAAAGTTTGGCCAGATGATTATTATAGACGCATTTCCATTTGGTTCATTTTTTTCACAAAGAAATGACATTTTTATTGTAAATTACTTATTACAGATTTTTCTCTCGATCTTACAAAGATATGCTAAGCTAAATCAATTAATTCCAAGATCACATTTCCTTAAAATAAAAAATAAAAAAAACCTTTCAACCCAACCCCGAAGCCGAAATTTCTTTCGGGATATCTGGACTAGGTCACATATGTGTATTATTTTGAACCTTGTCTTTATCTCCTTCCGTTCCTTTTCAAACGCACTTGAGCAAAGGAGGCGTAACTAGCTACGTACCGTGTTCTCAAAAAAGATCTACACAATCATCAATTTTTAATTGTTTATTAACGTTCTCCGTATTGTACGTCAAATTATAATTCCTACAACTACGTCCAGAAGCCGCTTCAATATTAACCAAATCAGATCTGATCAACTCTGTCGGACAGAGAAATTAGAAAGAAACTACACATTCTCAGAGTTGCCGTTAAGAAGGGTGGAAGGTCCTGAAAGAGTTGACGAAATATATGGTGTTGACCTTGATGGGCCACGCGTTCCAGACCGCAATTTAGCTGGTGGCTGCGAGTGCTCACCCACTTCGCAGTTCCTTTCCAATACTCTTTCCCCTGATGGAGTGGCTTCAGTTCCTGCCCGACAACGCCGGCCGTTTCCCAATTTGCGCACACCCTTCCGCTCGCCGTCGTGCGATGATTTACGCAGGACCGTACTAAATGACTGCAAGGAGCGTTAATACCTGCGTGTTGGCGTCGGCGCCGTGCTCCAGCAGCAGGCGCACGCACCCCACGTGCCCGTGCACGCAAGGCGGCGTGCAGGGGCGGCATGTGCGCCCAAGCCGCTTGTGCGTTGGGGTCCAGCCCCATGGAGAGCATCACGGCCAGCCGTCTCTCGCGGCCTTCTCTGGCGGCGCAGAGCAGCGCGCACGCCGCGTTGTCGCCGCGCAGAAGGTCGGGAGCGGCCGCGGCGAAAGCCGGGACCACGCCTCGCTCGCCGCCACCTTCAGCGCGCTCATGAGGTAGGCGTCGGCCAGCCGGCCGGGCCGCCGTCCCGCAGCACGCGCTCCACCTCGTCCACGCGGCCCCGCTGCGAAGCCTTCACCAGGGCGCGCCTGCGCTCCTTCTTGCTGCCTCTCGGAACTTCGCCTTCTGGTTGCGCCTCTGCGACAAGGGAGGGAATCATTTCAAGCTACATCAAAATACATCGGTTTTTTTCTGCAATACTTTCAACATTTTTACACCAAATTTAAAAAAGTTTTACACACGTTGCGAGTTGCTATAGATCTACCGAAGATGTTTACAGCTAGGTTTTGTGTTCAACGATAGAGCATTTTTGGTGAGTGGTATAAAAACGCAGTGTCGACAACAGTGTCATGCGTCTTGGCAAAAACTAGTGATGCAAAACTGCAACAGTACTACTTTCTCGCGTTATTAGAAAACAGGTACGTAATATTTAAAATTGATTTCTGCGACACTAACTCATGAGCTGTTATTGAAAATATAAAATTCAACCAAATCAAACAAAGCGCCAGCGATTATTATCTGCATTCCTTTCGATAGACAGGTGCAGCCATCACTTCTTACTTTGGCAAGTGAAAAGAACAGAAATATATTTTAATATAAGTTACTTACTGTAGGGAACAAATTAATCCGTACACACGCTGTCCTTTAGAACATTTTATTTTCACACTGGAAAACAAACTGAACGTTAACTTTTCTTGTGCTTCATAAATTATATGTCGTCTATATTTGTGTGCGCAGAATTATGTGCGTCTATATTTCTCTTTAAAATATTTGAAATTATTAAACACGAACTTCACGCACTGATAAAGTTAAAAATATGCATGCAACCATGCTCTTTAAATAGCTAATATGTGCTTAAGGCTAAGAATGTCTGTGAAACTAATGTTTTAGCAACACTTAACTTATTTATAAGTAATTTTCATTTTACTCTGTAGTGCAAAACGGTTCATGCACACGAATATGAAGTATATGTGAAGTATGAAGTAAATATATTCAAGCGAAAACATTGGTATGAATATGTTGGTATTGTAGCATTGCCATTGCTTATATAATATACTCCTAGTTCATTGAATTATGCTTGTGGCCAGCAGCTACTGAGGAAACTATGTATTTCATTAATTTCAAGCAGAAATAATGCAAAACTACTCGTTTAAAAAAAAAATATATATACATGACCTTTTTTGAGGAGCTAATTTTGTACAACGGACTTTGAGGCAAAAATATTCTATCTTCAAATTTGCGGTTTTGAAACGTTTTTTGCAATTTTCGAAGAAAAAGAGCAATACCTGAAAATGAGACTACCGCCTTATTTCTTACATTTCTTTATTACAAATGCGGATAAATTTTTAGGCAAACATTGGAGCGGTTTTGAGAATTTGTTTTGGTACATTTCAATCGCAAAATACGTAAAAACTTGTTTCAAAAAAAGAGAAGCCCTTTTTTAAAGAGCTACTGTTACAACTGACCGAGGCAAAAATTTGTATCCCTAATTTTGAAGTTTTAAAATATACTTATGTTTTTTCAAATTTCGAAAAGTCGGATCTATCACTAAAAATTATCCCTGCACCATTATCCTAAACGTCCTTTGTACCATTCAACAAAATTTGATCAAATACTTTTTTTGAAAATGTCCCATGGGCTTCATGTAAAGTATCGCCCAAAATTAAAATTTAGGTTTCAAATTCTAGGGTCCACGCCATCAGCTAGAACGATTGAGAAAAATGAATTTTGGAAAATCGGGCTAACGATTTATGCACTAGCGTTGTGCACAGATGGTTTGTCATCAATAGATTTTTCGGCATCAAAGACTCGCTAATCGGATTCTGTCACACCACGTTTTAGAGATATTTTTTCTACGTTTAACATCTGGATTTATCCACATTTTCCTTACCAGGGCTCGACAATAAGAGTTTTTGTGTCGAAAATTCGCCGTTTTCCGGAGCACGATTAAAATACTTTCTCTTCTTACGTTAGTAATTGCGAGACAGTAAAATGTTAAATATCAATCATGTTTATTGATTAAAATAATTTATTCGGGAAAATAAAGACTACATTTTTTGGATTTATCAAAATTACTTAGTATTTATATTTTAAACAGAACTTCTTACTGTACCAACCTTATATCTTGCGATCATATAAATCTTATTACTTCCAGAACACTGCCAGATTCAGGGGGCCCTAAGCGAAAGACGAAACTCTCTTCTCCTAACGATATTTATACTTGGATTTAAACATAGGTTCAGTTGACGTAAATCAGCTGTTACGGTGTCATCCAATCGGGCGGATGAACGTCACTAGTGACGTGTAAACTCCCGATTGGATGACACTGCAACAGTTGATCTGTCAAATGAAGCTCTAAATAAATCGAGGTGTATATATTGAACACAGTTAATAAAAATTATGACTATAATATTACTAAACGTTGTCGTTTACAAATTGTGTATAAATACAATAATTACACTGAGAGTCTGTTTCACCGGTGCCAGATAGCCTATCCAGAAGTTATCTTACAGATATGTTGAAAATTAGTGTTTTACGAGTGCCAGATAAATCTATCCGGTGGTTAAAGTGTCCGGTTTATTATCTGGAGGTTCGAGAGGCTCTTAAATATTTATCTGGTAGATAACTCCAAAATAAATTTGCAGTGCATTGCATTTGCGGCTCTTGTGTGTGAACTTGCAGTGTGTTTAAGAAGTGTCGGTGGTATTTCAGTGATGGAAGACATAATAGAGATGATAGATAACAAATTCTACGAGTTCTTTGATCGTTTAGAGCGTCCGCGCAGACGGCGTGTAATTCGAGATCGGCCTGAGTACTTTTGAAATCCTCGATCATGATTTCAGATCCCGTTTTAGATTAACAAAGCCTGCGGTGAAAGCAAAGTTCTGTCTTTGATAGAACAATAAAAACAAACCTGGTTTGCGAGTACCTGAGTTATATTATATTTCTGCACGAATTGGTCCTGCTAAATTCATTCTATGTTAAGATAAAAAATGTATACTTTGTGATTTGTTAGTAATGCAGCAGTTTCATCAATGAATTGACTCCTTCTCACTACGTTATTATGCAACCGGATCATTTTTTACTGTTATAGGAAATTCCAGTGGGAGTGAGCAAATCTACTGCTTCAAAAGTAGCAAGTCAAGTATCTCACGCCATTGCAGAATTAAGACCAACAGTCCCTGGCCATATTATTAGACGCACTTCAAATTTTTAACAAAATGTTAAGTTTTGAAGTCTCTCACTGAAGTACATTACATCTGGCATTGTTGCGAATCAATCAATAAAAACAAAGCTTCTTTTTCTAGTAATTAACACACCATTTGTCATTATGTACCATTGTTGTGACACCTCATTGTTGCTTAGACGCACAAATTATAAAAGTTGAGTAGAACAGGAAATGAGTAGTGTGTTGTTGCATGAAGATAGTTTATTTTTCATTTATTAGTTTGTGAAATAGTTATAGCCGAGTTTATTTAAAAACTGAATTGTATACGAAAAACTTATAGTTTTGAATAAAAATAATGGGAAAGGCAAGTGATTTGTCGCCTCGGAAGAGCGCAGCAGTGAAAGCTCTTGACACAGAAAATTATTCAAATCATGAGGTATCTCGAAGGTTGAACGTATCCGAGACATCGATTCGGCGAATTAAGAAAGAAATTGTCCTTGGTGAAGAATTATCCTCACGAAGGAAGAACACATGTGGACGGAAGAGAATATTTTCACCAAGATCTGAGAGATGTTTGAGGAAGATTTGCCATGAAAACAGGTTTGCTACTACTAAACAAATTAAATTTAAATTGGAAAGTAGTGGAATCTGTATCTGAAAGGACAGTAAGGCGTACACTTCTACAAATGAATTTTAAAGCTTGTAGACCAGCCCACAAACCCAGATTAACAGCTAGTATGAAAGAAAAACGTCTTGCATGGGCTAAGAATCTTAAGAATAAAGTTTTGGACTTCTGGAAATCGATAAAAAATTTAGTCTAGTGCTTTTTTTATAATTATAAATGGCTACCAAAATTAATTGTCATTTACTTGTATTTCAGGTTTGTTTTAGCGACGAATGCACTTTCGAAATTCTAGCAAACAAGCATCAATTTGTGAGAAGGCGCCTGGTGAAAGTATCATTCAGAGTGTGTGATCCAGACTGTGAAACATCCAGTCAGGCAATGATTTGTCAGTGATCAGTGGCAAAGGTACGGGGCGTCAGTACTTGGTTAAGGGCATCATGAAACAAGACCAGTACAAGCAAGTATTGGAGAAACGACTGCTGCCTCAACTACAGAAATGATTCACAAATGAAGAATCATTTGTTTTTATGCAAGATGGGGCTCCATGTCATACTGCTCGAACAGTTCGATCCTTTTTGTTGGAGAAAAATGTTCCTGTGTTACAATGGCCAGGAAATTCACCAGATTGAACCCAATAGAAAATGGTTTGGGAGCTCATGAAGAGGGAAATCGCAAAGGAAGAAATAACAACAAAAATTCGCCACCTTTTTATGTATTATACTGACAGTCATAATTTTGCATATATCTTGTTTGTATCATAAGTATTCAATTATAACTTATGTATTTCGTTAGAAATAAAAATAATAATTTTTCGTCACAAAAACGTGATTTTTATTGAACATTTAGGGTGTGTCTAATAATATGGCCAGGGACTGCATATTCGTAAAATTTCCAAGGAATATAGGAACCATTCAACAATATTTCTCGAAAATTGCCAGATTTCCTAGAGGTCTGGGAGCAATAGATTGCACACATGTTCCCATACAATCACCTGGTAATATGCAACATACATTTCTTCTGTTTAAGAGAAGTGGCACCTAAAAAATATTTGTAGGAGAGTGGTTTTAAGTTGAGTGCAGTCGATTTTACAGTGTTCTACTCTGTATAATGACTTGTCAATTATTATCATGATGGAAGTTTTTCTAATACAAAATATTCTATTTTCTATACATCTTCATATTTCTTCCCCTAACATATTTTTGAGATGTAACTTCTTTTTCATACCAATGATTGCTGCTTTATTGTTAATTTTACTTGGAACCTATTCTAAATTGTTTTATTAGGAAATATAATTTCGCAAGTTGGGTGATCTGGGCTGTCCGGGTGACGCCGCGTCGAAGGCTGAGTTGCCGACGTTTCGACCATC